ATAAGCAGTCATGGTCTCTGAAGTAGTTATTACCACTCAGAAAAGAGATATTGGAGTAGAGATCTATGAAAATGTCAGCTCAATACTCAGTGACTTAAAAGCAAAGAAACTGTTATGAAGGGAATAGAGAACAGAAGAGAGGGCATTGTGCCGCTTGGTACGCTCATGGCTTACCCACATTGTGAATATTGCATGAGTTCTCATCCTCTCCACCTCAGAAATGATAAAATAGAGCAGTGAAAAATACAAAGAAGGGTAACAAGTACAAACATACCTATGAAACAGTTTCTGAATTAGAAAGAACTGAGTAGAGTAGAGCTCTTCATTGAGCCTGGTAAAGATACAACGGAGGTGAAGAACTTAATAGGAATACAGAGAGAAAATCATGTATGGCCTGAAGAAGATGACAAAGAGATGATTTTTTTTTTTTCTATTATTATCTAAAAATGCTAAAACTCAGAGCACCCATTAAAACTGTGATGGAACAGCCTTAAAACAAAGAGAAGGGGCAACACTTCAATTTATTCATTTGAATTCATTGGCACGTGAAGTCTGAGCTGCAATCTGCTGGGGGTTGAAAAATATACAAGGGGGATATCAGTTATACCAATGAATGAGTCGAGCAATGATTTTAGTGATTTTTGTTGACCGCTGTTGGACAGAATACTGGGTGACAAGGGATTTATGATCGAGACTAGCAGGCCATTCTTGTTCTTAGGTTGCCAGTGATTAGTTGGTAGGGATGATTGGAACTCAAAACCATTATTAAACAGGCATAGTGGAAAGAGATTTGAAGCACCCCAGCTGCGTGTGAAGGTCTGTGGGTGATGAACAGGAAGCAAAGCTGACAGCAGAACAGTAAGACAGTGATTTTGGAAAACATGCAGAAAAAAAGCGCTATGTATTGTCAAAGAAAGTAACTGAAAAACGTGCATTAAAGGCATGTAGTTGATAGACCATCAGGAAAGTGCTGTGGAGAAGACATAGCTGGATCCTATATCATAACACAGAGTAAGGTGTTTATCTGTTTGAAAGTGTAAGTTCTGTATCAGAAGCCAGTTTGTTTACGAGATTGGGTATTGAAACAGTTAAGGAAAAAATCTTTTTAGAAGACGTTACACTGGATCGATGGATATTCGTGTCTGTTAAGGACCTTAGGCAAAACTTAAAACATACTAACTTATTTTCCTACTAATTGTCATTTTGGTAGGATTTTTTTTTTTGCATTTAGATCTGTAAGATCTTTGTGTATAAAATTCTAAAGCTAATTCAAATTGATGTACAGCTTTCACTTGTAAACTTTCTTTAAAAATAATGCATGCATATTGTGCGTGCCTACAGTTTCTAGTATTTTACTCACTTTCATTTCCATAAGAGGTTGTGCAGATGTTATGGGAAATAGAATATCTTTATAATAAATTTTATATAGATTATAAAAAATAAAAAAAAGCTATTTGT